CTGCTATCTGTAACCATAGCCCCATGGGTCTCCCAGTGTCATGAGGAGTGGAAAGGTCAATCTTCCAGGCAGCAGGAGAACCCTGTGCAGGTCCTGAACTCCATGGTGCTCATTCTCAGTCCTGAGAGTGGAGAGGCAGCCATGGGTTTAGGCAAGAGATGCCAGCTTTACCTTCCAGGCTCAGGGTACCTGCACTTAGAATCCCATGGGCAGGGTGGCACATGCTTAGAGTCCTGGATGCCTTGAGCCTGAGAGAGGAGGACTGCAGGTTCAAGTCCACCCCAGGAAAATTATAGAATCACTGTATATAAATAAAATGAAACTGATTTGGGTGTAGCTCATGCTGGCGTAGCATGTAAAAAACTCTGTGTAGATCACCAGAACTGACAAAGTAACAAAGGAAAAAGAAAAAAAAAATCACATATTAAACCAAAAGTCATGGCATATCTATGTGCTTACATATACTCATACTAGAGATTCAGAGCCAACACAGATAGATTCACATAATTTAGCTCCTAAATATTATGTATGTGGCATATAATATTTCTTTCATTCATTTCTAAGCAAATTCGACTCTGAATGAGATGAAGCTTTGGTGGGTCTTTGCTGACCCTCTCAGCTCAGCAGGCTTACTGTGTCCTGTAGGCCCAGGGAACCATGTTCCCCCAAGCAAATCTGAGCAGGCCTGGTCTGAGCTGGGACACGTGGATATATTGAGCCTGTGTTGAATGACTAGGAGGAGCCCACCTGAAAGCTGTGCCCAGCCTGCCCAGCCCTGCTGATTTGCATGTGCCCACAGCACAGCTCACTGCCCTGAGGAATATTTAAGAGGCTGCTCACACCCTGTTGTCACTTCCCATCAGGACACATCATGGCCATGAGGGCCCCTGCTAAGCTCCTGGGGCTACTGATGCTCTGCCTCCCAGGTAAGGAGGGATAGTACTGGGGACTTACTAATCACAGTGTGGTCAGTGCTGCCTGGTTACTCAGGAAAGTCCTCTTGTAACTTAACGAACATAAGAATATTTCTTTTTATGTTTCCAATGGCAGGTGTCAGATGTGACATCACGATGACCCAGTCTTCATCCTCCTTGCCTGTGTCTCCTGGAGACAGAGTCACCATAACCTGTAGGGTGAATCAGGGCATTAGCAATTATTTGAACTTGTATCAGCAGAAACCAGGACAAGCTCCTAAGCATCTCATCTATGGTGCATCCAGTCTGCAACCTGGAGTCACCTCAAGGTTCATTGGCAATTGATCTGGGACAGATTTCACTCTCACCATCAGCAGCCTGGAGCCTGAAGATGCCACCATTTATTACTGTCAACAAGGCTACAGCGACACAGGCCATGACAAAAACCTCCCATGGAGCAGAATTGTGATGCTGGGCTGTCCCAGCTGCTCTTCCTGATGCCTCCACCTGCTGAGGGCACTGCTCAGAGGCAGCCAGCCCCTGAGCACTACAAGGAGGGTCAGAAGATCAAGAGGAATCCTATGCACCCTGACCCTTCACTCAGCCCCAGCACACAGTGATATCACTGTATGATAAAGAAAATAATTTAAGACCTGAAGAGACTGAATTAGGCAGTATCAGGGGTTGTGCAGCAAAGATAGAACTCTCCATGTATTCCACATGGGAATATTTTAAGACTTTGATTTTTAGTGTAGTTTAAGTATTCAGGAAAATTGGGGTAAAGTACATCCTGTGTCCACCCTGCTCCCACAGCTCCTCCATCACCACTCCCAGACTCTGTTGCTTCTGTTACAATTCGTCAACTTCTGCCCACATCTACAGGTCACACCAGAGTCACTTTGTGTATTCTATGGAACTAGACAAGTGGACAGTGACATGTGTCCAACAGTGTGGCCTGGCACAGTGCATGTCCTGCCCTCACACTGTCTGAGCTCCAGCTGCTCCTCACCCCCCACCTCTATATGCAAGCCTTCATGATTTCCCATCCTGTAATTTCACCTGGGCGGAGTGTCAGCTTCCTGGCACTCACAGCATGATGATGTTCAGMCTGGCCTGTCACCCTGAGTGCTGTTTAGAGTAAAGTACTGAGTTTTCCTGTGTCCCCCCTCCTCCCAGGGCTTTTCACTACAGCACAGATAGTTGTTTCCTTTTTTAAAATTTTTTCTTCAAA